ACAGGTGTTTGTAGTATAGTTTGATATCTGGCCATACTAATGCCTCCATTTGTTTTTTGCTTGCCTAGAATTGCTCTTGATATTCGGGGTCTTCTTTGGTTCCATACGAGCGTAAATAATTATTTTCTATATCTGTAAGAATGTTGATGGGATTTTAATAGGTATTGCATTGAATCTGTAGATCAGTTTGGGTAGTATAGACATTTTGATGATATTGAGTCTGGCGATCCACGAGCATGGTATGGATTTCCATCTGTTTATCTCTGCTATTTCTTCCTCAAGTGTTTTAGTTTCTCCCTGTAGAGTCTTTTAGTCTTTGGTATAGGTATATTCGCTAGGTCTTTAATTCTTTGTTGCTATTGTAAAGGGAATTGAGTCCCCTTTTGGATTTGTTCTCAATTAGATTGTTGTTGGCGTAATATGAATGCCTCTGATTTCTGTGTATTGAATTGTATCCTGGAGGACTTTACTAATAATTCATGTCTAGTTCCAGGAGTTCTCTGCTTGATCTCTGGGGCGTTTTCTAAATACTCATACCATATCATCAGCAACAGTGAAGTTTGATCTCTGGGCTTGCACCCTATTTGGATTACCTTTGATTCTATTTTCCTGTCTGATGGCTGTAGGCCAAGACTTCCAGCACTATGTGTGGATAGGCAGGAAGGGTATATTGTGGTGTCCAGCTTGGTCTGGGTTTCCATTCTAAAGTTGGGAATGGTTTTCAATATTTCCCCATTCAGTATGAGGTTGGCTATGGGTCTGTCATATATGGCTTGTATCATTTTAGGTATGTTCCCTTCTATGGCCTATTTTTCTAATGTTGGTATCATGAAAGGGTGTTTTGAATTTTTTCAAAAGACTTTTTCTGCATCTATTGAAAGAATCATGTGGTCTTTGTTTTTGCTTCTGCTTATGTGGTGAATTGCATTGATAGAATTTACGTAGTTGAACCATCCCTGCAAACCTGATGAAGAGCCCACTTGGTCGTGGTGATATTTTTTGATAAGTGTCTGGATTCGGTTAGCTAAGATTTTGTTGAATTTTTGCATCTATATTCATTAGGGATATTGGTCTGTAGTTTCTTTTTTGTTGCATCCTTTCCTGGTTTGGTATCAGAGTAATTCGCTTCATAAAAGGTGTCGGGGAGTTTCCGTTCTTCTCGATGTTGTGAATAGTTTCTGCAAGACAGGGTACTAGTTCTTCTTTGTAGAGATGTGGTAATTCGGGTGTGAAGGCCATCTGGACCGGGACTTTTTTTTAGGGAGATTTTTAATTGCTGTTTCTATTTCAGCTGTTGAGATTGGTCTGTTCAGGGAATTATTTCTTCCTGGTTGAGCCTAGGGGAGGCTGTGTGTTTCTAGAATTTGTCATTTCTCCACATTTTCCAGTTTTGTGCATAAAGATTTTGTAGTATTCAAAATTGTTCTTGTATCTCTTTGGGATCAGTTGGATATCTCCTTTTTTATTCTGATGGAGCTTATTAGAGATTCTCTTTTCTGCTTTTCTGTTAGCTTAGCCAATGGTGTGTCAATTTTGTTATTTTTTCAAAGAACCAACTTTTGTTTTATTAATCTCCTGATAGCTTCCCTTTTTCAATTTGCTTTAGTTCTGATTTGATCTTGTTGATTTCATTCTTCTGCTGGGTTTGGGTTGGTCTGTTCTTCTTTTCCAGCTCTTTGAGTCGTTTCATTAGATTTCTATTTGTGTCTTCTTGTCTTTTGGTTATAGGCATTATGGAGATAAACTTTCCTCTCAGAACTGCTTTAGCTGTGTCCCAGAGGAGTTGATAACTTGTTTCTCCATGTCGTTTTCTTCATAGAATTTGTTTATTTCCATCTTGATTTCTTCATTTATAAGTAATCATTTAGTAGGAGTTGTTTAATTTCCACGTTTTGTGTAGAATTGAGTTTCTGTTAGGTGTTTCTAATTTTATTCCACTGTGATCTGAGAAGTATATGGTATGATTTCTATTTTTTAAATTTCTTGAGTTATTTGTGTCCTAGGATATGGTCAATCTTAGAGAATGTCCATGAGCTGATTGAGGAAGAACGTATATTCAGTGGATTTTGGGTAGAATGTTCTGTAAATGTCAGTCAGACCCAATTGTTCTAGAGTTTGTTTAAATCTATTATTTCTTTATTAATTTCTGTTTGGAGGATCTTCTCGTGCCATTCAGTGGGGGTTTGAATCTCTGGTGATTATGGAGTGCTATTAATCCATTGCTTAGCTCCAGTAAGGTTGCTTATGAATCTGGTGACCTATGGGTGTGTATATATTTAAAATTGTTATCTCTTCTTGTTGAAGTGTGCCATTCACCATTATATAATGACCCTCTTGCCTTTCACTACTTTTGTTGGTTTAAAAACTAAATCATCTGAAATTAGAACTGCCACACCAGCCTTTTTGGTTCTTTTGCTTGGAATATTGATCTCTACCCTTTTATTTTTAGTCTATATTGCATCTTGCAGGTTGTTAGATGTGTTCTCTGAAGACAGCATATACTTGGCCTGTATTTTCTTATCCTATCCAGGCGAGTCTATGTCTCTGAGTGGAGAGTTTAAGCCATTCACATTTATTGAGAGAACTGATAGGTAAGGTAGAATTACTGTTTCATTTGTTGGGTTGGATGTTTGTTGCTATGATTTCTGTCTGGAGCCATTGTATATCTGGCCTTTAATATCTTTGGGTTTTTGGTTGTTTTTATATTCGTGGTTATTATTATGTTGTTCCTTGCGTAATGCTGTTTTTTAAGTACTCCTTGTAGGCTGGTCTTTTTCTGGTGAATTCTCTGGGATTGCTTGTCTCAGAATTTTTTATTCACCTTCATATACGAAGCTTAGTTTTGCAGGAATAAGATTCTAGACTGGGCATTGTTTGTTTTCAAAGAGTGAGAAATGGCGGCCCCTGTCTTGCCTTGCTTGTAAAGTCTCATTAGAGGAAGTCTGGTGTTATTCGAAATGGTCTCCGTTGTATGTCACTTGCTTCTTTGCCTTACAGCTCTTAGAAGGGCCTCTTTTAGTTGATTATTTGGTCAATCTGATGTACTGCATGTCGTGACGTCTCTGTTTGCATTGAATCTTCCCAGGGTCCTCTGAGCTTTTTGAACTTGTATATGGAGAATTTGAGCAAGGCCTGGAAATTTTCCTCTATTATATCTTCAAACAGCTTGGTACTCCAACCTTGATGTTTCTTCTTCCCCTTCTGCTAACCTATGACCCTCACATTAGGTTTCTTCACATAATCCCACAGCTCTTGCAGGCTTGCTTTTTCTCTTGTTTCTCTGCTCTATTTCTGTACTGATTTATTATTGAGGGTGTTAATCTTCAAGCTCTGAGATCTTTCTTCTGCTTCATCTACCCTGTTCTTGAGTCTTCACTGTATTTGTGTAGTCCTTGAATTGATTTTTCATTTCAGGAGTTCGGTTTATTTTTCTCATTGTGTTTATTTCTTTTCCCATATCCTGGAACTTTTGTGGTCTTCTTGTGTGGTTATTGGTGTTGTTGAGCTGTGAGTGTTTCTATATCCACGATATGAAAATTCCTCTTCTGTCATATTGGTTGCCTGATTTTGGTTGGTGTCCATTTCTAGGGCTGGTGCTCCTCTTGGGGTGTGTTTTCGTTTGGTTCTTCATATTTCCTGAGTTCTTTCACTGATTTTTCCCATGTCTATCAGTTTCGTTTCTTTCCTTAAGTTATTGTTTGGGTATCACACACCTTTTTAGTTTCTGGAGAGGCGTTAGGTGTGTCTGTGGTGAAATGGACCACTCCTGTTATATTGAGGTCAGTGGGTGTCGTGGAAGGCTTGCAAGATGCCTGTCCCTGTCAGTAGGTGGCGTTTGCTTGGAGGAACTGGCTATGCTGTTGATTTTGAGTCCTGTTATCAGCTCTTGTTCTGGCAGAGCTGTGGTTGGGTAGCCTGCCCTTGGGCTGTAGCAGGTCAAAGTCTGTTCTCTGCTTCCAGGAAAAGCTGTAATGTCCCGGTCAGCCAGAAAGTCTGGTGTGGGGTGGTGCTGTTTGAG